AACTGGAAATCAAGGAGTATCAGACCTGGAAAAAGAATAAATACCTAGGCGTGAATGAAGCTGCTTATTCTTTATTTGGAAATAGAAGCAAAGCTCTGAAAAGCCAGGTCATGATCGTGGTCAGTGCCAGTGGTTTACTCACAATGTAAAAGTTTCGAGGCTGTGCTTTAGGTTTTCCTAGAAGGCCTTAGTGATGCCGTCTAAGAACATGTGTGTTCCAAGACCCTAGGCTTGTATCTGCCCAGGGATTCTGTAATTAACGGGTGCTCTGACCACAGACATTCTAGTACCCATGACATGGACCTATAGCTTATAACGGAATTTTCAGCTTGCTGGCAGCTTCCTGGAGGAAGCAATTTCTTTGGCAGGAAACCATCTCTTCTGTCACCTTGGCCATCAGGGCCTGCTTCAGGCCTTGAGTCAATATCCATAGCAATGGACACTTCCCCTGTAGTCATCCCCACTGGAGAGGCAAAGGAAGAAGGGGGCATTTCTTAGGATCCATCGGTGCCCCACCCTGTCCACCTATGGCGTGGAGGTGCCAGCTTTCTGTCCTCTGGTGCCTTGGTGGTGGGCCTTAGGTCTGGATGCCTATGCGACACCCTGGGCACCGGAAGTCAGCCTCCCTGGCAGCCTGGATGCTGTAGCCAACACAGGCCACATGGAACCAGAGGTCACAACCATCACACTGAACCCAGGCAACTGTTTCTTCTTCCGGTAGGTAGCAACAAGGGGCTGCACAGGGCTCCCCACTCCCATCTGCAGGGGGAGCCCTGGGAGAGCTCACTGGGTGCTTCCGAGGTCGTCCACGCCTATTTCTGAAGAAAGTGACACAAAAACCAAGTCACTGGAAACTTGCAGAAGAAGCCTAGAACTTTCCCTAGATAATCCTAGAGTGAGCCTAGATAGATTTAATAGACTAATGGGGACCAGAATAATAGAGCTGACCCAGGTCTTGCCAATCCAGTGTCTGTTCTAGCTCCATCCACTTGCCATTCCCATCCCTGTTTCCATCCCTGTTCCTATCCCCAGAGCAGATGGTCACCTCCCAGCCTGGGGCTCTAAAAAGGGATCAAAAAGGAGTTAAAAATTGAGAAAGATCTCTCCACTTACCCACCAGGTGTCTGTGGGGTTGTCTCTACACGGAGTTTCTTCCTGGGCTCCATAAAGACTGGTGGGGGGCCCTCAGGAGTCTCTCCCTCATCATCCAGCTCTGCCAACACTCGGTGAGCGGATTTCCTCCGATTTCTTGGGGGTGGGGCAGAAGGAGTGGTCCCCACCTCCCTAGGAGGAGTGGGAACAGCCAGGCTCTGTGGCTCACCCCCACTCCGGGAGAAGGTCAGGGGCAGAGGTCTGAGCTTGCTGAGACTACCAATGGAATTGAGGATCAGTGTGGCTTTTGGGGCAGGGGAAAGGGTGCTGAGGGGGCGCTGTGGGGCCCCCTGGGGCGGCAGCATAGGCCAGAAGCCAGCCTTGGTTCCCTCTTCACTAGACCGCGGGATGGTAATGGCTGCGAAGTCTTGAGGTTTGACTCGGACTTGCTGAAACATGAAGTAGAACTCCGAAGGGCTGGTTCCTGGGGGCCCTTCAGGACCAAAAGTCACAAGGTCCCCATCACTCAACTCCAGCCTGTGACCCCTTGGGAGTCGGACATTATTGACCAGAGTCCCTGTTGATGGCAGGGCACCAGACAGATACAGAGAATGACAAAAACAAACGACAAGAGTCAGGAGTGGAGAAATCTGGCCGCCTCTGATTTTCTAGGGAACATGAGAACAGGACACCTGTCATCAAATTCTCACATTTGAAATCCCTCAGCAGGTGATACCAGATACTAAGCTCTTTGTGAATTGGGAACAAGTTTCTTTTTTATGGCTTCCCAACAGGGCACATGGAAAGAATGGACTCCTTCCCTCACTACATCCAATGCAAAAAGTTAGTGGGTACCCTAGACTGACTGGGTTGAGATTTTGGCTCCACCCTTACCAGTTCTGTTACCTGGACAAGTTAACCTCCCTGTGCCTCATTTTCCTAGTCTGTTTCCCATTCCCTAGTAAAATGGGAATGATAATAGTGCTCTCCTACATTCGATGCACTTAAAAACAGTGCCTGGCTCATAGAGTAAGCACTAAACCAATGTTGGCTACTATAGTTATCTATCTCCACAACACTCCCCAGACAGACTTTACAAAGCCTTACATTTTACTTATGAGGAAACAGAGACCAGAAAGGTGAAGGGCCCAGGCCTTTCTCAGGCTGGCTGCAAATGCCTGCAAGTCAGGGAGTAAGACATGCCCAGATCATTAAGATAGAATCCAAGGTGCGCCTCAAGTCAGTTCAGTGTCTCCCTTGGGTTTAGATCAGGATCTCAAGAATTCCAGGATCTGTCCTGTATCCAGGCTTCCTGCTCAGCAGGGAGTCTGCTTCTCCCACTCCCTTTGCCCCTCCCCTGCTCCTCTTTCTTTCGATCACTCTTACTCAGTCTTTTTTAAAAAACAATCCAACACATAACTGCCTTCAGATAAGAACAAGGTGCCTCAGCAAATTTGGAAACTGAGTCATCTGAGCTTGGCCCCCAGTGGCTCCAGAACATCCCCACTGTGATGCTTCCCTAATGACCCAGTCCCCGGATCTACCTCCCAACTCCTGTTCAGATGGTTCCGGCTAGGCAGGGATCATCAGGGACCAGCCCCACAGAGAGCTTCTGACACTGCACACCTTTAGTTGGAAGATGCAGGTCTGGACTAAAAACAGTCCAACCCAATAGGGAGTTTGGGAGGCAGGCAAGGTCCCTGCGGAGACCCTTAATTCATTCCAGCCTAAGAACTGCAACTGCGCAGGCACAAGACCGCCCTACTCGCTGCTCACCTTGGCTGCTATGGTCCTCCAGGCTGACCCTCCAGTCATCACCCCGGCGCTCAGCGTGCAGCTCTGCATGGACTCCAGAGATGAGGCCGGGCTCCTGGGGCTGCAGGGCCACATCACACAGGTCGGCCCTACGGCCCAAGCGGTAGGTGCAGCCAGCCCCGCTAGGGTGGAAGGTGTAGAGATCACCACCCCTGCCTCCCCCTATGCGCAGCAGCTGGAAGCAGGGCAGCATGGGCGGTGCCCCCACTGCACCACCTCTTCCACTTCAGGAGTCCATCACATTCTGACACCTGAGCCATGCATGCTCGCCTGAGTTCACTTTCCTTCTGATGCAGATTTGAGCTGTGCTTTGTGCAATTTCAACTTCAAGCACAGGCCTGAGTTTTCACCAGGGGTCAGTGGCAAAGCTCAGATGAGAACCCAGGCCTGAGTAGTCCAAATTCAGAGTGCAAGGAACTTAAGGCATGCGATACCAACAAAACTCAATCAGCTTTGCAAAGGAAAAAGTCAGGATAGGTCCCAGCGCAGTGCAAAAACAGACACGCCCTGTGGCATGTGAGTTGAACCAGATCCTCAGGCCGCGAAGTATTCAGGGAGATTCGATCTGTGCAAGGCAACAATATATTAGGGAGCTTCCAGGGAAATGCAAACTGTAGATGTGTGTATAGGGGCGCCTGGGTGGCTCAGTGGTTAAAGCCTCTGCCTTCGGCTCGGGTCATGATCTCAGGGTCCTGGGATCGAGTCCCGCATCGGGCTCTTTGCTCAGCAGGGAGCCTGCCTCCTCCTCCTGTCTCTGCCTGCCTCTCTGCCTACTTGTGATCTATCAAATTAAAAAATAAATAAAAAAAATAAATAAATAAATAGATGTGTGTATAGAGTTTCCTGCTTCTGTACAATATTAACTTGTCACCTCAGTGTAATTTGGAGTAAGCTTCCTGTCAGACTCGCTTACCCAAATAGTATACCTCTCCTGCTCGCTCGCGCCTCGCCCTTCGGGCCAATCCTTCCTAACTATCTTTAACCCCAGTGGGAAGGGAATCCAGTGTCATCCCCGAAAAGGCAGTGGAAATAGTTCCTACGTTCTCCGACAAAGCAGATCTAAACCTGATTTCCCAGCTTCTCCGGGTGGGATATAAACAGGGAAAGAGCCCCGAGATCCTGCACAGCAAACCCAGCCTTTTCCTCCCCTGCCCAGCCCCGTTTCCGATCTACCGCGGTGCGGTCTCCAAGTAGTCTCCTCTCCAGGCAGTGCCAGCGTGTGCGGTGGCCGCGGGACCCCTCCGGCTCCGGCCGGAGCTGGCGCTACCGTGGCTGTTTGACAGCGAGGAAGACGGGGTCCAGAGGGGCGCGGTCTCCGCGCGCGGGCAGAGCCCTACCCGCCTTCGGAATTCCCGGGTCCGAGGTGCGCGCAAAGCGAACCTGACCCGTGCCATTCCTGATTGGCCAGCTCATTTATGCCCCCTCCGCTCCATTGGGCGACGCTCGGGGAGTGTCCCCGACCTCCCGCCTTCCGCTTTCTCTGATTAGTTCACAGGTTTTCCCGGGTTCCCGGAGTTGGGAGGAGCCGCCAGGGCGCGGAGACGTCCCCCAACGTCGTAATTGGGCCGGGCTTTAGACACGACTGCGCCTGCGTGCATCTCCCCCCCCCCCCCCCCCCGCTCCCTGGATGGAACGGGGTTTTAGAGTGGCCCGCCAAGCTGCCCGCTTTGCGCAGGCGCGGTCAAGGGCGGAAGCCGCGCCCCAGGAGCGAGGTGTAGGGGTTATGGCTTAAGGGCATAGGGAGTTCTCGCGCTGGGTAAGGGGCATTCGGGAAGAGTCGGTTGGGGGCGGGAAGGGGCTGAGAGGGGGTACGGGGGGTTCAGGGGTCCATAGGGGGGGAGGGGTATAGGGACCAGGTAAAGGAACAGATGAGGTGGCCCTAACAGCCTTAGAGCCCAGGGTCCAGCAGGTTGAAGACTCGGGTTTCTGGGGGAGAGGTGGTGGGGTGGAAAGAAGTGAGAGCCTGCTAGAGTGCAGGGAAGCTCGAGCAAGCAATTGGGAAGTGAGGGGGGAGTGAGGGACCAGAATAATTCTTTCAGGAAAAAAGCAGACGAGGCCGAGCCCAGATAGGGGGAGGAAACACGTGAATAGGGAGACCTTGAAGAGACCTCTCTTGTGCTCTGGGACTCTGGAGAGTGGAGGGGAGGCGACAGGAATGTCAGCCGAGGGCGCAGTAGAGAAAAACTGAGGAAAGTTGCTGGAAGGGTTTGGATGAGATGTCAGGAAGCTGGCTTTTCTGCCAAGAGGTCTAGGCTCCCTGGATTCCTGGGGTACCTGGGAAGATGTCTTGCCCTTCATGTGGCCATATTCATCTGGGGCCAGGCCTTGGGCCAGTGCTTTAATAGGGAAGGACCCAGGAGTCATGGCTTGGTGGTGTCTGGATGGGCTTCTGGAAGGCCTTCCTGAGCCACGGAGAGAACTCTGGAGATTGGGCTCACAGCCCCTGCACTGCACACCTCCATTCTCACCTACAACAAGGAACAGCAGAGACTATAGAAACTTAAGGAGGAGGGTAAAGTCTCTGCCTGGAATTCTAAAAGTATGAGTAAAACCTAAGAGCTCCCTCTCAGCCTGTCTCAAGTTACTTCCCTCCATCTCATGGTTCTTGCCATAGTTCTGTCAGGAACCGGGTTGGGTAAACAAGTGATCTTCGGGTATTTCTTGCTTCTCTTGGGAAGTTACTAAAGGATTATGACTTTATTATTGTAGGAGCTTTCTAAGGTGTCCTGAAAATTGAACCGGGGTGTCCTTGTTTCTCCTACTGTCCAGGGAAGCATAGATGGCTGGACACAGAATCTAGAGACTTCAGATAATGTGGAGATGTTTCGACCTTCAGGTCAGTGGAACCAGGCAAGGGGACTGGTGATTGTCTCTCTTTAGGAAACTGACCATCTTTGTCCTTGTGATTCCTCAGGTTCCACTGGGCTGATTCCCCCATCCCATTTCCAAGCTCGTTCCCTTCCAACTGTACCAAGAATGGCTCCCACCTGGGTTTCAGACATTCCCCTGGTCCAACCCCCAACGCATCAAGATATCTCAGAGAGGCGGCCAGACAACAAGAGACCTCCAGTGATCATGTGGGAACAGGATGTTTCTGGCAATGGGAAGGAGCCAGGGCGGAGAGGCAGGTAGGGATTCACTGTTGCTCTTTTCTCGGGCTTGCTTGCCAGTGACCTTTCTTCCCTGAAATAGATTCCTTACCCTGTTTCAGCCTTTAGTTCCCTAATATGTGCATTTTTACCTAAGCAGTTACTGAAAGTTATAATGTACAAGTAATAAGGCAGTGTGCTAGATGCTAGGAATGGGGGTAACAAAAATGAATGAGATGCTGATATCAATGAATTAGATAGAAATCCTAAGGGAAGAGGTAGATTGACCAAGAGTTGACAGTAATAAGCATAATATAAGGCAAGATAAAGAAGTGCAAACTAGGAGTACAGTCTGTACTGTGGTAGGGTTGGATTCATTCTGATGGAGTGCTTGCCATTAGAGCTGGCCATGCTGTTTGATGATGTTTTATCTGTAAAGTTCTGATTCTTACTCTTGATGTTTCATTGTGTGTCTTCCCCCAATGTACCAGAATGTCATTCTGCCATTTTGCTCTGGATTGGGATTGCACGTGGGTCTACCTTGGACCCTGTCCAAGAGGAAGGAGCATGATGAAAAAAAGGGGAGCCCTGGAGTGGGTGTCAGGAGACAGAGACTCTGATGCTAGTTTGGCTACCAACTAGGGTCCTTTGGCCAGTCAACTATCTCTAGGCTCTAGATCTCCACCATTTTAAAAGAAAAATCTTGTGGTTCTGGGCCTCAGTGAGGGAGTTATGTCAAGAGCCATGTTATCATAAGCTGCTTTAAACTTTACAAAACACCAGTAGACTATGTAATTTATTGATGTGCTGTTGACTCCTCATACATGATATATAACACTGAATAAATGCTTTTAACTAGCGCCTGGTCTCACTGTATTGATACTGGAAGCCATGACCTCTCTTCCTCTGAAACTTCCTCCAACTTTTCCTTGCCCTTAAATCAGAATTCAAAGTCTCTGGTTGTCTTCCAATCCCTCCATTTCAGAATGTATGGCCTAATGATGTGCACATTTGGTGTTTAACACATCTCCCTGTGTATAGCTCAGCAGAGATCGTGTTCCATGATCTCAGCTAGCCTTTAAGTCCTGTGAGCCCAGACAGTGAACTTAATATGCTTAGTTAGGGCCATGATAAAAAACAACGGTGATGCAAAGGCGGAGATCCCCGTAGACCAACTTCATCCCCACCATCTCCACACACAATAGCAGAGGAATCCTCTTCTCCTTCCCGTGTCCCTTTGTGCCCTTTGCCACCCTCCCAGCACCAGAGATAGGTCTCACGTGTGCTAACCTGTCTTTGAAGGTCTGTGGAGCTAGAGGGGTCACATGCCCTGAGCCAGCAGGCTGAGCTGATCTCTCGGCAGCTGCAAGAGCTGCGGCGGCTTGAGGAGGAGGTCCGAGTCCTGCGGGAGACCTCGCTGCAGCAGAAGATGAGACTGGAGGCCCAGGCCATGGAGCTGGAGGCTCTGGCACGGGCGGAGAAGGCTGGCCGAGCTGAGGCCGAGGGCCTGCGTGCTGCCTTGGCCGGGGCTGAGGTTGTCCGAAAGAACCTGGAAGAGGGGAGCCAGCGGGAACTGGAGGAGGTTAAGAGGCTGCACCAGGAACAGGTGAATGTGGTGGGGGAGAAGGGTTTAGCTTCACAGTGGATGAACTGGGCAGAAGCTTCCCAGCAAAGAGTGGGTTCCACAGAAGAGGTCCCATGAGCAGAGGAGTGATGAGAAGTTTGGTGAAGGTGAGAGATCAGAGGACCTGGAAAGATGAATTTGGGTGTTTTGGTCTTTATTCAGGTTGTACTTTTCTCCCAGGACTCACCTGAAGCCCTCCTTCCACTTCCAGTAGGAAGTATTTTGTCTTCCTACCTAACTCTGGGTACTCACTTCATGTGAGAGCATTGTGGGGGTGGTGAGGAAGGTGGGAGAGGGTGGACTGGGAAGGGAGCTGACTCATTCAGGAAGCATTTATCAGTGCTTACTCTTTGCCATCTTTGAGATAGGAACCAGGACCCTGAGGTGGGCAAATGAGCCTGAGTCCTGGTGGTTGGAGCTGAAAGCCTAGTGGGGGACATGCACATTCAGCACCTAATTTAATCCTAATTAATTAATTGCAGTTGGGAGAAATGCCATGCAGGAGAAGGACAGGGAGCTCTAATGTGCACAGTGCGGCATAGGAACACCACCCTAGTCAATTGACATGTTAGAAAATGAAACCATAAAGATACCAAAAGAAATCATTGGTGAATTTTCCTTTTTTTTTTTTTAAAGATTTTATTTTATTTATGATTGTTGTTTTAAATGATTTTATTTATTTATTTTTTAAAGATTTTATTTATTTATTTGACAGACAGAGATCACAAGTAGGCAGAGAGGCAGGCATAGAGAGAGGGGAAGCAGCCTCCCTGCTGAGCAGAGAGCCCGATGTGGGGCTCAGTCCAGGACCCTGAGATCATGACCTGAGCCGAAGGCAGATGCTTAACCTGCTGAGCCACCCAGGTGCCCCTAAAGATTTTATTTATTTGACAGAGACACAGAGAGGGAACTCAAGCAGGGGGAGTGGGAGAGGGGAAAGCAGGCTTCTCGTGGAGCAGGAAGCCCAGTGCGGGGCTCCATCCCAGGACCCTGGGATCATGACCTGAGCCGAAGGCAGATGCTTAACAACTGAACCACCCAGGCGCCCCAGTATTTTTTAAAGTAATCTCTACACTCAGCATGAGGCTTGAACTCATGACACCGAGATCGAGTTGCACACTCTACCAACCAAATCAGCCAGGTGCCCCTGGGTGAATTCCTTTATAACCTGATTGGTGAAGGCTTTTCTCCCTATGAATCAAAATCCCTCATTAAAGGAAAGATTGATACATTGGCTTTATAATGTTAAATTTAGAAATGACAGAAGTAAAATTAAAGAACATAAAAAACATTTGCAGTTCATATCATGGGAAAAGGTTGATGTCCCTAACATACTGTGTGCCTAGAAGTTGATAAGGAAGGATAGTAATCTAGCCAGGATATGGACACAGGAGATAGTTCAAAGAAAAATATAAATGGCCTTTAGATTTATGAAAGATGCTTCATAAGAAGTTGTCATTTGAGCTGAATAGGAGTTGGCTGGTGAGCTGGCATATGGGGAGGTGATGGGAGCTGGCAACACCCGGCAGCACGTGGGTCGTGAGGAGGCCAGAGGGGCTTGAGTATAGATGAGAGGGGCCCTAGATGGTGTGCGCACGGGGAGGCCTCGGGGCCTGTTCAGATCTTTGTACTTTACCTTGAGAGCGATGAGCAGCTGTTGAAAAGTATGTTATAGGGAAATGACATGATCAGATTTGTATTTTATGTCTAAAAAGGCCAGTTTTGTGGAGTGCCTGGCTGGCTCAGTCAGTGAGTTAAGCCCCAGTTTGGGTGTGGAGCTTACTTTAGAGAGATGATAGATGGTAGACAGATAGATAGTTCGATCGATCCATTGATTGATTGACCAACCAGTTTTGTGATTTCCTTCTAAAATGATCACTTCGTGGTATGAAGATAGGGCTAGAGGGCAGCCTCTCTCCTTCCTCCACCACCTGTCCCTCAACTCCTGCAGTGTCTCCCACATACTCACCACTGTTGGAGGTACAGTGAGAAAAGGATAAGATTCCTACCTTCTTAGAGCTTCCTTTGGAATAAAGGGTAGCAGACACTAAGCTGTGGAGAGGATCATTCCAGATGATGATAGGAGCTGAAAATGACTTGGAACAGGTGATAGGATGGAGCAGGTGGTAGGGGGCCCAGTGAGGCCTTCTGAGGAGGTGACATCACCTGAGGTCTGAGGAATTGGGAGAAGCCAAGTGATAGGAGTTGAACTGAGAGAAGTGGCAGAAGCAAAGGCATGTCTGGCTTTGCAGGCAGAGGGAAGAAGCTGGGCTTTGTTGTCAGTGCTGTGATAAGCCACTGAAGTCTTTATTTATTTATTTAAACTTTTTTCATCTATTTATTTGAGAGAGAGAGAGAGAGAGAGAGCGCATGAAAAGGGAGGAGGGGCAGAGGGGAGAGGGACAAGCAGATTCCTGGCTAGGCCCTGGGGCTAAGATCATGACCTGAGCCAAAGTCAGATGCTTAACAGACTGAGCCACCCATATGCTCCCTGCCTGGAAGGCTATTAAAGACTGGTCAGGAGTTTGTTGCATTTGTGCAGGCCCGAGATGAGGGTTGGTGGTGGTGGAGACAGAAGGTGAAGATCTGTTTAGTAGGGACCTGGCAGGAACTGCTGATGAACTGGCAGGTGAATGGAGGACAGTGAGGCACCAAGCACTGTCTGCATTTTGCCGTGTGTGCAGCTGGGCCATTTGCTGGGTTGTTGTCTAAGGTGACAGAAGATGGGAGTGCAGGGACAGGGCCCGAGCGGAAGCAGATTTGGACAGTCCGGATGTAGGAGTGAGCTGGCCTCTGCTCTGCCCCATCTTCTCTCCACAGCTCTCCTCCCTGACACAGGCTCACCAGGAGGCTCTTTCCAGTTTGACCAACAAAGCTGAGGGCTTGGAGAAATCTCTGAGTAGTCTGGAAACCAGGAGGGCAGGGGAAGCCAAGGAGCTGGCTGTGGCCCAGAGGGAGGCTGAGGTGCTGCAGAAGCAGCTGAGGTAAAGCGGGGGTGGGCAGCCAGGGGAGACCTGGCACGTGGTGGACACGGTCTCTCTCAGCTGCCTCACTAATGGCTGCCCTGTTCTCATCCCAACCCTAGCAAGGCCCAAGAAGACTTAGAGGCACAGGTGACTTTGGTTGAGAATTTAAGGAGATACGTGGGGGAGCAAGTCCCTCCGGAGGTCCACAGGCAGACCTGGGAATCGGAGCGCCAGGAGCTTCTAGAAACTGTTCAAGTGAGAGAGTATAGGGTGCCTCTGTGTAGGGGCTGGAGGTTGGGGGTGGGGTGCTCAGGGACCAGATCCTGGGAGAGGGGTGGCCAGGATAGAAGGCAGTGCTGACAAGGGGCAGCATCTGGATGCCGCTTGTGGGCCTGCGTGGAGGTCCCACAGAGGCCACTGCTGTCCCTTCCTGTCCGGTCCGCAGCACTTGCAGGAGGACCGGGACGGCCTGCACACCACAGCGGAGCTGCTGCAGGTGCGCGTGCAGAGCCTCATGCACATCCTGACCATCCAGGAGGAGGAGCTGAGCAGGAAGGTGGGCCCCTTGCCCCCAGGGGCTCCCTGTGGGTACCAGCAGTTGGCGTGCTGCCAGAACCTGCTGGCATCTTCTTTTCGGTGAACACCTCTTCTTGCTGTGGCTCTTTGTTGCTTGGGCAGGACAGAGGAAAAAACCCCAAACATGCCTCCTTCCTCTTCTCCCCCAGGAGCTCATCTTCCACCCCTCTTCCACATCGCAGGTTCAGCCTTCGGATTCGCTGGAGCCTGAGTTCACCAGGAAGTGCCAGTCCCTGCTGAAGCGCTGGCGGGAAAAGGTGTTTGCCCTCATGGTGCAGCTAAAGGCCCAGGAGCTGGAGCACAGAGGATGCATGGAGCAGCTGAAGGGACAGGTCACTTGACTCTCTCTCCCCCCAGAATCTCCCCCAGCTCCCGGCTCCTTACGTCAGGGATGGTACTAACCCGACAAAGATGTAGTGAGTGGTTTCCATGTGCTGGGAGCACAGCCCTGAACAGAGGCAAGCTGTTGTGGAGCTCACATTCTGGAGCAAGCAATTAGACACTGTCAAGAAATTATGTGTGCTTTAAGGAGAAGTGTGAAAGTGTGAAAGTGTGACAGAAAGAGACCGTGGGGTGGGCTGGCTCTAGACAGGATGCTCAGGAACGGCTTCTCCGAGGAGGTGACAATGGCCAAGCATGGGTGGCATGGGCAGAGGTGGTGAGTCTTTGTGGGTATGTCACAGCGAGCTTCCTCAAGGTGTGGGTGCATGGAACATGCTTCTGGAAGGAAACCTGGACTCAGACTCCATTCTCAGGAACCCAGGCTTGTCTCCCTGCATGTTGTGCTATCAGAGACTTGGGCACCAACCCCTCCGTACCCAGTGCCCCCCTCCAGCTGTGCCCTGTCCCACCAGGTGGCAGAGCTCCAGGACCAAGCTGTGGCCCAGAGCCAGGAGCAGGCCATCCTGCAGCGTTCCCTACAGGACAAAGCCGCCGAGGTGGAGGTGGAACGGATGGGCGCCAAGGTCTGTGTGCCAGGCAGGGGCGAAGAGGGGTCAGGGATTCCTCCCACCTCTTCCCGCACAACCTTGTCGAGGGGACCCCTCTCCGCCCGGCATCTTTGCAGGCCCTGCAGCTCGAGCTGAGCCGCGCTCAGGAGGCCCAGCGCCGGAGGCAGCAGCACGCAGCCACAGCCGAGGAGCAGCTGAAGCTGGTGGCCAACTCTGTCAGCAGGTATCTGGGACAGAGGGTGCACGGAGTAGAGTTCCACTTCCCCGGCTTCCCGGCACCTTGGAGTTTAAGAGCCCAGGCAAGCGGCACTGGAAAGCTGGCAGTTGGAGGATGCAGGGCGAGAGGTTTCTAGCCCGGGAAATAACTGATCTTCTGAGGGTCACCTCCCTACCCCTAGCAGTAGTTTACAGGAACCCTGGAGACAGGTCAGGGTCCGAAGGGAAGTATACTTCTTTCTATTTATTAATTTATTTATTTGACAGAGAGAGAGAGAGAGAGAGAGAGAGATCACAAGTAGGCAGAAAAGCAGGCAGAGAGGGAGGGGGAAGCAGCCTCCCTGCAGAGCAGAGAGCCTAATGTGGGGTTTCTAGCTCCAAGAGTCCCTGGGCTTGTTCTTCCCTGGGACAACCTGCTCCACAGTCCCCTGAGGATCGCTTGTTAGGACTCCCACTCGTGTTTGGTTGGAGGTGAGGCCCTGCTTCCTCCTGTAGTTCAGTTCACCCGGGAGGATCACCACCTTCAGAGTTGTTCGAGGATGGAGAGTGTGGCTACACTTTCTTTCTTTAAAATTTTACAGGCACGCCCTATTTCGCTGGAACCAGATTTAACCCATATTTTAAAGCTGACACCTGTGGCTTACTAGATACTCTATCTAAAATGTACGCCAGCTTCCTTCTTAACCACTTGCCAGCCTGTGTCTCTCATACCAACTTCCTGGGTGTTTCCTTCTCTCCATCTGTTTTATAACCTTTAGAAAGACCTCTAAGGAGGAACACACAATTCTTTGGGCTGGTAACAACCCGTCCTCAGCTTTGGACTTGGGATGCTGATGTGGTCCTCGTAGACCTCCTGGCATGGTGCCTGGCATGTCATCTGACTCTGTAAATGTTTACTGTTAACAGGAGGCTGTTCAGGATGGATCGCGGAAGAATTATTGGTATAGCAAAACTGTGGTGCCAGATAGGTCCTTGGTGGGGTGGATGATGGTCCCCACCATCACTTTGTTTTTTCTTTTCTTTTTTTTTTTTTTTTTTTAAAAATTTTTTTTTTTGAGAGAGAGAGGGAGAGAGCACAGGCAGGAAGTGGGGGCAGAGGGAGAGGGAGAAGCAGGGAGCCCAGCACAGGGCTCAATCCCAGGACCCTGGGATCATGACCTCAGCTGAAGGCAGACGCTTAACTGACTGAGCTGCCCAGGTGCCCCTCCACCATCACTTTCTGTTGGGTTAGTACCTTGAGGACTAATTTTACTTAAAAATTATGAAAATTTAAAAAAATCATGAAAATTTTCCACTTTGCACGGAATTAGACTAGTTATAATGAACCACCCATATTTGACTCATTGTGTGTGCCTCCTCCTTCCACGAGAACGGGAAGGTACACTGTACACGGAGTTTTAGTTTGGTACCAGGACATCACTGAAATGGTTCTTGCTAATGACTGATGGCCCACGAGGCTTAAAACAACCCACACTCAGATTGTTGTCAGGTTTGTTAGATAGTCTCTTGATGGCCTGGAGACTTTATCTGAAAATGGCTTTTTTTTTTTTTTTTAAATGTTTTTATTTATTTGACAGAGATGCAGTGAGAGCGGAAACACAAGCAGGGGGAGTGGGAGAGGGAGAAACAGGCTTCCTGCTGAGCAGGGAGCCCAATGCAGGGCTTGATTCCAGGACCCTGAGATCATGGGCTGAGCTGAAGGCAGCTGCTTAACTGACTGAGCCCCCCAGGCGCCCCAGAAAATGGCTTTAGAAGAGTCATGGGGTGTCGGAAGCACCTGCTCAAACACTTTAGGTAACAGATCTCTGCCATGCTGCTAGGAGTACAACTGTCAGCCTTTGTCGTTTGCTTGTTTTTCAGTTGATACAGACTTGGACCCTCCTGGAGAGTTCCACCCTTGCCCTGAGATGCTGTCTCGCCCTCCTCCCAGGGCACCTGCGTAGGCTTCTCAGCTTTCATGAGTCGTGCTGGTCCCGGCTGGGGCACAGCCGGCTGATAAGGCACATGAATCTGGCCTTCACTGGCATCGGGGAATGGTTAGAGAGGATAGCTTTGATCTCTAGTGTGTATTAGTGATCAAAAAATAGGTTATGAGAAATAAACGTGTCAGGTTGCTTGAAAAGGTCTGCTGCCACATAACACCTTCCTGGGGTAAGGGCTCCTTAGAAAACTGATGGAAGCTATGTGCTTTGTTCTTGAGGAAAATGCACATAAGTTCATACACCCAAACGTCGCATACGGCACCAGGAGATTTCCAGAACCAGGTGACCTGTCCAGCGGCCTGCTGGCAAAAAAGTCCAAGTCAGCTAGAGATGAGCTAGCTTTATGACACTCGATTTATTTAGCCTCCAGAGAATCATTTGTGCTGAACTCTGCTGTATTACGGGCTTGGGTCCAGATCAGATGTGACCCCGTGAAGCTCGTTCTTGTTTTTACTGCTCTTATTAAAGACAGTGATTGCTAAGACCCAAATGAGAAGCTTACCCTGGGTTTTGGGACCAAGCATAGCTGTGCTGCCCTTACGAGTAACGGGATCATTTTTTTCTAACACTAACGGGCTTAAGCTCTCAGGTTTTCTTCATCGGCTGAGAAAGCTCAGACATGACTGGCCCCAGCCCTTGGCTCAGCTTCTCTTTTCCCTGCTATGCTTTTCCTTTCTGTGCTCCCCACATACTTAGCAATATAGGATAGAAGGAGTTGTCCTAACAGGTCACATCAACTCCCTTAGGGAATGAGGTGGGGTTGAAGGGTCAGTGACCTTGTGCCTTCTCCAGCTTTCAGACCTGGCTCCAGAGCACCATGGCTGAGGTGGAACGCGCCACCACCCAGCTGCCCTGCCTCAGCAGCCGAGTCAGCTATGCAGTCCGCAGGGTCCACACCATTCAGGGTGGGTAGGGCGACTGCCAGCCACGCTGTGCTCCTGCCCCTCCAGCTCTCGCCTCCCACATCCATCTTCATGCCTACTCGTCACCAGCCTGGGCATCCTTCCTCTTATTCCCTTTTCCCTTTTGTCCTCCTCAAGCTCCTCTTCATTGCTTTCTGCCTTTTCTCCCCCAGGCCTGATGGCTCGAAAACTGGCCCTTGCTCAGCTGCGCCAGGAGAGGTGAAGTTTGGGGCGCTGTGAGGTGGACAGGAGGGGGTTAAGTGTTGTTTGCTGGGACCCCAAACAGGGAGGACTGAAAAGGGGTGGGGGCTTAGGGATCAGGCTGGGTGATCTCCCTGGACTCTGTTTCTCTTCCCTGCCCCAGCTGTCCCCGACTCCTGCCAGTCACAGATGTGAGCCTTGAGTTGGAGCAGCTGCGGGAGGAACGGAACCGCCTGGATGCGGAATTGCAGCTGAGCGCCCACATCATCCAGAAGGAGGTGGGCCGGGCCCGGGAGCAAGGTACGTTTGGTCCTGGAGTCCCGGAGCTGGAGCAGGCACCAGAGCTGGGTGTGTTGGGGACAGAGAGAAGAGAAGAGCTGGGGTCTGGGGCACAGAGAGACCCCGGGAGTGCCATCTCGTTCCAGGGGAGGCTGAGCGGCAGCAATTGAGTGAGGTGGCCCAGCAGCTGGAGCAGGAGCTGCAGCGGACCCAGGAGTCCCTGGCTAGTGTGGGGCTGCAGTTGGAAGCCGCCCGCCAGGGCCAGAAGGAGAGCACGGAGGAGGCTGCCAGTCTCCGGCAGGAGCTGACCCAGCAGCAGGAGATCTATGGGCAAGGTGTGCAGGAGGGGCAGTGGCTTTACCATGGAGGGCTGGGGGGACACTGAGGAGTGACACTCCCTGAGACACACCCCATCTGCCTCCCCCCCCCCCCAGCTCTGCAAGAGAAGGTGGCTGAAGTGGAAACTAGGCTGCGGGAACAGCTCTTAGAAACAGAGAGGAGATTGAACGAGGCTCGGAGGGAGCATGGCAAGGCAGGTGAGATTTGTTGGGATGGATATGGGCATCCGGGGAGAAGGAAGTGTTAGACATAAAGTTTTTTTGTTTGTTTGTTTTGTTTTAAAATTTTATTTATTTGAGAGAGCACGAGAAGAGAGGGTCAGAGGGAGAAGCAGACTCCCTTCTGAGCTGGGAATCCAATGTGGGACTCGATTCCAGGACTCCAGGATCATGACCTGAGCTGAAGGCAGTCTCTCTCTCTTTTTTTTTTTTAAAGATTTTATTTATTTATTTGACAGAGATCACAAGTAGGCAGAGAGGCAGGCAGAGAGTGAGAGGGGGAAGCAGGCTCACCTTTGAGCAGGGAGTCTGATGCGGAGCTTAATCCCGGGACCCTGGGATCATGACCTGAGCCAAGGCAGAGGCCTCAACCCACTGAGCCACCCACACACCCCCTACATGAGGTTTTTAAAACTGTTTTGAATCCTGCAAATAATGAAGTTATCAAGAAATGGTACAGATCAGTTCTCATGGTGTGAACACACTCCTGTAGCCAGCCCTGGTATCCAGCACCAGCAAGAGCCCCACCCAGCCACTCCCCTCCATAAAGGCAATGGCCATCCTGACCTCACACCAACCAATACCCCCAACTTTTTTTTGCCTTGGAACAATAGAAATTTATTCTCTCACAGTACTGGAAGCTGGAAGCTAGAAGTCTGAATTCAAGATGCTGCCAGGGTTGGTGCCTGCTAGAGGTTCTGAGAGACACTTTGATGACTCCCCCCGCCCCCGGTGGGTGGTTGCCGGCAGTCTGTGGCATCCCTTCATTTGCAGGCACATCATTCCCTTCTGTCTCCATCTTTACATGGTGTGCTCTGCTGTGTGTGTCTGCCCCCAACTTTCTTTTTTTTTAAGATTTTATTTTTATGTAATCTTTACACCCAGCATGGGGCTCAAACCCACAAACGTAAGATCAAGAGTCTTACTCTCTACTGCTCTACCGACTGAGCCAGTCAGGTGCTTCCCCCTCTTTTATTAGGACAGAGTTCAAATACCTGGACAGATTACAAGAGTCACATAATGCCCATTTGTTTACCTCCTCTGACTAGATGCAACAGTTAGTAACCAATTTTTTTTTAAGATTATTTATTTATTTATTTATTTGACAGAGATCACAAGTGGGCAGAGAGGCAGGCAGAGTGAGAGGGGGAAGCAGGCTCCCTGCTGAGCAGAGAGCCCGATGTGACTGGATCCCAGGACCCTGGGATCATGACCTGAGCCAAAGGCAGAGGCTTTAACCCACTAAGCCACACAGGCGCCCCTAGTAACCAATTTTTTTAAAGATTTTATTTCTTGAAATAACCTCTACACCCTGTGTGGGGCTCCAGGCCACAACCCCGAGATCAAGAGTCTCATGTTCCACCGACTGAGCCAGCAAAGCACCCAGCAGTTGTTAATCTCTTGCCATATCTACATATATATACACACTGATACATGCATTTTTTGGGAAATACTTAAAGCAAGTTACAAACATCATGACCACCCAGCTGCATCTCCTACAAAGAGGAAATTTTCTTACATAACCTCAGTGTCATTGTCATACGTTAAGAAAACATTAGTGGCACAAAATGGAATATCTGGTTCATATCCAGGAAGTCTCCGGGATGAGGAAGGTACTTTGGGTTCACAGAGTCAGAAGGTCAGGGAACATCAGCCACTACTCCCACCACACAGAGGAGACAGCCCTGGAGCATAAGTGGCTTTGCTGAGCCATAGAGCTGAGGGCCCAGTGTTCCTGCCCACGATCGCAGTCCTGTTCTCATGGTGCCTCCCTGCCTCTGGGCTCCCCCACACCTGTGCCCTCTGTGCCCCGGCTTCCACGTAGTGGTCTCCCTGCGCCAGATGCAGCGCAAAGCCACCCGGGAGAAGGAGCGGAACCAGGAGCTCAGGCGCCTGCAAGATGAGGCCCGGAAGGAGGAGGGGCTGCGGCTGACCCAGCGCCTGCAGGAGCTAGAGAGGGACAAGAACTTTATGCTGGTAGGGGAGAGAGGGAAGAGCAGAGACCAGGGACTGGGGAGGGGGTGCGGGGGAAGGAGGAGGGGCAGCTCTGCCTGGGCTAGGTGGCGTTTAACCCTCTCCTTCCCAGGCCACCTTGCAGCAGGAGGGTCTCCTCTCCCGTTACAAGCAGCAGCGACTGTTGGCAGTTTTTCCTTCCCTGCTGGATAAGGGGAAGTCTGCAGAGTCCAGCCCCCGGGCCCCAGGGTCTTCACTGCCTGTACCTCCAGGAGCAGCACCCGTCCCCAAGGAGTCCATAAGAGGTATGAGCCATGTAGGAAGGGACAAATGCAGGGGACTTTAGGAATCTCTCCTTTAGGCACTCTTAATGCATGAGCATCATTCTCTGTGACCCTTGGAGGCCCATAGCCTCTCATCTGTGCCCACGTTGAGCCAGGGAACCCTCCCCCCTCATAACCCTCTGAGCTGATGGCAGCCCTGTTTGCTGCACTGGAGCTGAGCTGCCTTCTCTGCTCAGCTGCTATCCCTTGGGGTCTTCTTTCCCAGGATCCCTCTCTGTCCTGCTCGATGATCTGCAGGGACTGAGTGAGGCCATTTCCAAAGAGGAAGCTATCTCTCAAGGAGATAACCAGAACTGTCCTGCTCCAGTCTGCCTCTGAACAGCTCCGGGCACTCTGTGCAGCAGGGAGCTCAAGGTGGGCGGGGCAGCCCCCAGAGAAGTGGGGTGGGGGTGGGGAGGTCAGCCAGCTGCACTTGTGGACACCGAGGCCACCGGCCACCAAGATGCCTGTGAATCCTGTGGCTTAATAAAGACAACTGCAGCAGGTGCCATGTTCTCTCGGGGAATGGGAGGGAATTCCTGCTGCAGCCATCTCTGTCTGGAAAATGCAGGGAGTGGTCCCACACAGCTATTTCTCTAGGTGGTACCTTTTTCAAAACCCCTTTCTCTGGCTGCTTGGGAAGTTTTTTGAGGTGCTCCAGAAGTTTATTCTCAACTTTTGTTTGAAAACTCTTCACCTCTGGAAAATGATCACTGCCAGGAGTCAGGATATAAAACATCACTCATTTGCTGGGAATCTCAGTGCCAAGCAGTTTCCTTGCTCAGGGACCACAGTGGTGGATTTGATGGGTGGGTCCCTGCTCCCTTGGCCGCAACATCCCGGCGGGGGGCGGGGGCGGGGGAGACAGACGATGGACAAGTACCTAAGTGAACAGAGCAAGCGTTGCCATGAAGAGAAAAGAAATACAGTGACGTGGCTGAACCCGACTGGGGAGGGGCGGCTAGACCGGAAGATAGGAAAGGGCTCCCTGGGGAGGGGATGTGTGAAGACCTGCCTGCCAGCAGGAGCCAAGAGGGCCAGCAGAAGAGTCCTGCAGAGGGCAGTCAAGCACTGAGGCCCAGAGCAGGAGGGAGGGACTGGTAGTATGGGCGGTTTATTTTAAGTCAATAGAAAGCCCTTGGAGTGCTTTTCAACCAGGTGCAGGCACACAATTAAGCTGATATGTTTATGAGCTAGGTTGGCTGGCTGTAGAGGATGGGGCTTGGGTGGGGGAAGGGTGCTGGGGGGGACCAGTTAGGAGGGTGCTAGGGAGGCTAGGGAGAGATGAGCTCCAGAATGGGGACATGGGCTGAGCTTGCCTTGGGGGGTATTGGGGTTGGGGAAAGGAGCAGAATGAAGGCTTCGAAGTGAGCCACAGGGGAGCAGACCAGATGGAGAACAGCCTGGGGAGGAAAGGATTTCTGTTTGGGAGGCATTACTTCTGAGAGGCACACTAGAGCTCTAGACCAGTGGCAGCCTTCCTGAGGTGGAGGTTCCAGGGGGTCTGAGATACTTAGACAAGACTCACACTGAGCTCTAAAGGATGGGGGTGGGGAGGGCACAGAGAGCTGGCACCTAGGACCAGGGCAGCAGCCACCTTGAGCAGGATTCCAGAGGGAGGAGGAAGAGGCGGGATTGACAGGAAGCGGAGGCAGCTTCCTCCTGGGCCTCTGGGCTGTGACTGTTGGAAGCTGCTCTGGGGTGGGGGTTAGGAATCAGGATATCCTCATACCTCCTCACCAGCCATCACCCCAGGTGGCTCCTGGATGAAATTCTTTGGATGTCACTGCTTGGGAGGCCCCCTAGGTGCCTGTGGAGGCACATGCGGGAAAGCAGCATGTGGTTTCCAGTCCTGAGAGGAGTGAAAGGTCCAAGGACAAAACTGAGTCCCAAGGGGGAGGCTCGGGGTACTGGCTGAGACCACTCTAGTTGCATCCTGTGTGTTTATAACAAGCCCCGTCCCTGCTCCTGCCCGGGCGTCCTGCCTCCTGACCCCTGTAATTACACTGCTTCCCCACGCGTGGTTGGCTCCCATCCCTCGGCTTCCCATGGCTTCAAGGGATGAAAGGTGGACGTCCTTGTGATTACAGAGATGACAGGTGGGTATCGATCGCTGCAGGGTGTGTGTGGAGGAGGATGTGAACATAAGGGTGGGATGACCAAGGTCTAGGTCATTGATAGAGCTTGGGTGGCTAGGTCCCAAAATGGGGGGGGGCTAAAATGAGGGACGCTGCTGTCAGAGGTTAAACATTAGCCCTGGCCTTCCAAACGGGTTTGACCAGTTAGGTTCTGATGGGATTCCTTGTGTCACTGGGCTGGCCACTCCCCAGAGGTCAGACACTGCCTCTCACTCCTCCCCTATAAAGCCTCTTGGGGTTCCCAGGCACCTAGACTCAGTCTACCCCCAACTTTGGGGGCCAGGAGACAGCCATGATGCTCAACTGGAAGCTGCTGGGGATCCTGGTCCTTTACCTGTGTGCCGGAGGTAAGCTGGGAACAGGCCAGGGTGCAGTTAGAGGTGATGGAGGATGGTCAAGAGAGGCAAGTGTGAATTGGATTCATAGGAATGGAGGAGATTCCAGAAGATTCTGAGTATTCCCTTGGGAGGAGTTAAGAGCTTGAAGGTGATGCAGGAAAGTGCATTTTAGCTCAATGTTTTTACTGGTTCAAGTGTAGGTCCATGTGGCAATCTAGATCAGAATCCAAGTGTGTGGGTGAGTATTCATCACAGCTGAGGACTACGCGTTTGCAGAGGGTGGGGTCTGGCTGCCACATGGGCACAAGGTGTGGATGGCTTTGGAGGTGTAGACCAGCACAGAAGCTATGCCAGTGGGAGTCCCAGCCAGGGCTGGATGGAACTTAGGTTAGATCCTGTCGGTTTAAAGTTGTTCAAGTCAATGATTCCGGTCAAGGTTTTTACGGCATTTTAAGATCACTTTGGGTATTTTGTAAATGTGTGGAGAGCTCTTTGAGAGTTACCTTTCAGGTTTGTGGTGTCAGCTCAGACTGTGGTCTATCCCAGAGAGGCTATGCCCCCTGAGTCTGCAGCTAGGGGAGGAGGGATCTGGCCCTCACCACCTTTTACCTTTCTCCTTCTTCCTCCACAGGCATCTCAGGCAGTGGAGAGCACCCCCCTCCCCCACCCACAGAGGCTGGAGAGGAGGAGGGCTCCCCAACATTGCCTCAGGGGCCTCCCATCCCTGGTGATCCCTGGCCAGGAGCACCCCCTCTCTTTGAGGACCCTCCACCTCCAGGCCCCAGTCGTCTCTCGAGAGACCTGCCAGAATCTGGAATCTGGCCTCCTGAGCCCCCGAAAACCGATCCCCCTCAACCTCCCCGGCCTGATGACCCCTGGCCAGCAGGACCCCAGCCTCCAGAAAACCCCTGGCCTCCTGCCCCTGAAGTGGACCATGGATCTCAAGAGGAGCCAGACCTTGACCCACCACAGGAAGAGTACAGATAAAGGGATTCCCCCACAGGCATCTTGGGCCTCCAGGCAGAGTGCCTCTCAAGCCCATTTGTACCATTCTGATTCCTCTTCAATTCTTCCACCAGCCTCAATTTCCTTCCTCATTCCTTCAATTTTATTCTGAACTCTGAAAGTGTCATTCTCAATATTTTACGTCCATTCTTGAGATCCACTCCACATTTTCCCTCCTTTTTTCTCTGACAGCTAAAGCTTACACCCCTACCTCATGTCCTGTCCTCTCCCCTCTACCTGCTTCCCACCTCCTCCCTCTTCCCCACCCCTGGGGCTTCTGGAGCCAGACTGGGGGCGCTTTGTTCTCTGCTGCCACCTGGTGGCTTACAGCTGGGAACTATCAGGAGACCATGACAGTACTTCCATGAAATGGAAAAATAAAATCCATGTTTTCTTAATTTTGATTCTTGGCTCCTTCTTTGCCAGTGATAAGATCTTTGAATATTGAGATGCCTTCCTCAGGGCACAAACCTACAGAGATCTGGAAGTAGTCTGAGTTCCTGTCTTGTCCATATGCATGTGGAGCCCAGCAGGAGGAAGTTGGAAATGTAACTATCAGAGTAACAAGGACATTCAGACCCACATTTCTCCTGTTCTGGAACCCCTATTTTGGAGAATGAGAAACCAAATTAGGTCTCTCTCTCTTTTTTAAAAAAGATTTTATTTATTTATTTGACAGAGATCACAAGTATGCAGAGAGGCAGGCAGAGACAGAGAAGGGGGAAGAGGGCTCTCTGCCGAGCAGAGAGCCCAATGCTGGGCGCTATCCCAGGACCCTGGGATCATGACCTGAGATGAAGACAGAGGCTTTAACCCACTCAGCCATCCAGGCGCCTGTAAGTCTCTTTTTAATAGCTTATGGTTTGCACACTCCTGGCTGAAAGTGAAAACTTTCCCAAGGGTGTGTGTGCGCAGGACTAGGATCTAAGGGGATCAATTTCCAGAAGTATATGTATCCTTTCCTAAAACGAATCTGTCTGAGGGCTGTACTGTATTTATTTCCCATTTCCACCTGCCTCCATTAACAAACCATACTTCTCCCTCTAGACGGAGAAAGCCCTAGCTCTCTTGTTCACCCTGAACAGGACCCGGGTGCTCTTCCTGGAGTTGCTAAACAAAAGTCAGTGGGGAACAGAAATCAGCCTTTTCCATCTCATTTAAGAGATGCATCTTAAATAAGAAGCTATTTTTCTGTTTAATCAATATTTGTAGTTTTGACAAAATGTGCCTTGTAATAGTTGTAGTAATAAACCCACTGCAGAATAACTGTTTTTAACACATAGGGTCTTATAGTCACAGGAAATAAATTTCAATTTTTATCCATATTTTTGTTATGGAGATATACAAAAGGACTTCCCCAAAATACAATAAGATACCAAAAAAAAAAATAAAAGTGATACAATGGAAATATATTTCATTAGGATAAAACTGTAGGGAGAGTGGAATGGAGAAAAACTAAACTGAAATATAAGTTAACTTTGCTGACTGGTTAAAGGCCTTGCTCACTTATTAAAAGGGCATTGTGGATATGAAAATGTTATGGTATTAAATTCCACCTGCTACATTCGAGTGATGTAACTTTTAATAGATCAGTGTGTACAATTCCCTGGAAAGTATACTCTTTGTAATATTTAAACTTATGATTAAAAATGTTAGCTGTTGACTTAAAAATGTGTAAGGCATACCTAATTTTAAAAATTTCTTGGACACCTGGGTGGCTCAGTGGGTTAAGTCTCTGCCTTCGGCTCAGGTCATGGTCCCAGGGTCCTGGGATTGAGGCCAGCATTGGGCTCTCTGCTCAGCGGGGAGCCTGCTTCCCCCTCTCTCTCTGCCTGCCTCTCTGCCTACTTGTTCTTTCTCTGTCAAATAAATAAATAAAATCTTTTAAAAAAATTCTTTAAGGGCATATTTGAGCAGGAAAGTTCAAAAGTCAGGAGCCAAGAGACGTCGATGGCCTAAGGTCAATTCAAGTGGCTTACCAGGATGGGGGCTGAAGAGGGGTTGAAGGAAACTGAATATTCACCACTTAGGACCCAATTTGTTTATGTGGCAACTCCAATCAAAACTTGTGTGTGACTAGTTTGAAAAACTAAAACAAAACTTATTTTTTTTTAAAAAGATTTTACTTATTTGAGAGAGAAACAGTGAGAGAGAGTATGAGAGAATAAAAGGTCAGAGGGAGAAGCAGACTCCCCATGGAGCTGGGAGCCAGTTGCAGGACTCCATCCTGGTACTCCAGGATCATTACCTGAGCCAAAGGCAACTGATTAACCAACTGAGCCACCTAGGCACCCAAAAACCTAATTTTTGAGCTTAGAAATGATCCTAGAACATATAAGAATTGTAGGGGAGGGCCTACTAGAATT